AATATGCAATAGCACATAAATATAGCAAAATGCTCCTCTTTATAGTTATTTTTCTAGCTGACTGATGAGCTTATGGACTTACACGTTTTCTGCAGTTTGAAACACTGAATGAGCTTTTACATGAGACATTTCAGTAAGTTGTACTGTAGGATCTCTTATAAAATAGCCTACCTTTTGATGTTAATTCATGTTCATTATGTACTATAGTAGTAAAGAGAAAAATTAAATGGGTTCACTTGCTGCTTAAACTGAGGTGCTAAAGCGATCGTGTCTGCCGCATTAAAGAGCGCCAAAAACAAAACTGTATTTATTGTTTGAATTTCGTTATGAATTTGGAATAATTTTAAAGCTGGTACTTTATTTATTAAAAAGTAACAAAGCACAAAGCTTTTTGTGATTACTGGATGGCAAGTGCGCTTTAAATAATATGAAGTTCACACATTAACAAACACAGCATAGACTAAGATCTTGATAAGAAGGAGCCATATTAGTAATGATTATAAACCAGAATTGTTAACGATATTGCCAATATCCACACAGCTGACAGCTTTACCGGTTGTAGTTTGTTCAAGTTGTGCACGAAACAGACACTGCTTTTCTGCTTTCTGCACTCGCACGTCTCCATCATTTCGATCTCTCTCGCGCTGCACAACTGAGCTGCATTTAGCAGGTAGCAGGTGATGCTGCAGAGATCAGGACTGTTTGAAACTAATTTTTCCACTAAAACTTTGATGCGCATCGTCTCAGTTTAATACGTGAACATAAAAGATGTGATCGCAAAACAATCAGGAAAAAAGGCATTACATGCAAATTTTTAAGTTATAACATGTAAATATATATAGTCGCCAGTGGCGACCTCAGCAAAAACTTCACTCGCAAATGAATATTTTTAGTCGCAGTCTGGAGCCCTGAAGTCTGACGTGCTAGTAAAGCCTCTGGGATGCACACTAAAAGGGGATACGGATAAGAGGCGAGAAGTGGAGGTGGGTGGTTCAGGATTTACGCGCCAGTTTGAGCAAATCTGCCAAAGAAGTTCAAACTTGACAAAACACAAAACTGTAGTGCACAAACACATGGACACTTACGTGGCCGAGTACTCAAACAGCCCATAATAAGGGTTAAAAGGGTTAAACGAGAGCAGGAAGAACCATTCTCTGGCTACGCCCCCATAGTCCAGGCCTTTCTCCGATTCAAACTCGATCCACAGACGGGCCTTCAGACTGTCGGGTCTCTTCATGGACATGATTCGTCTGTACGACTCCTCCAAGATGTTATTCCTGTGCAGCTTCATCTCAAAACGGTTCGGAATATCTGCCTGTGGGGGAGAGAGAGATTCAAGTAACATACAGCTGCATCCTGGAATTCATGATATTTGGATGATTAAAATCACAAAATAATAACCTAAGCTCACGGTTAGTGACTAACATTTAAATTTAATATGAAGGCTTGAAACAATCACTGCACTGTAAAGGAATGCGTTTCTGTCGTGTGAAGAACAATTTAAAACCCAATTTAAAAAAAAAAAGAAGAAGAAAAAAAAAAAGCGCTCTTCACTCCTCGACAGGGATTTCACACGGAATAAATTAGAGTGTCTAGGAATACAGTATGTGACAGGAAAGAGCTCA